GGCGCTGCCGGGGCGGGCCGAGCGAGTCTGGTGAATGGGGCCGCGGGAGTCCACAAGGTGCACTACGCCGCTGACCGTCTGGCGAACGGCGGCCCCCGGAACGGAGCAGACGCAGGTACGCGGCCGTTTAAAAGTCACAGAGGCTGCCGCCCGCGAGATTCTTTCCGGTGAGCCTTTGTGGGACCTGTTCCTGCACCGCAGGACGCCGCCGAGAACTGAACGGAACCAGAGGTACACATCTTGAAATACGAGTGCGTGGGCTGAGGGTAGGTAGCCATGGAGAGGTGCCCTCTATCTGGTTTATACCTTACACTACCATAAAAGAAGGTTGGACGTAGAAATTAGAGGGTGTTTGGTTGTGGTCTATTGTGACAACGCTTTCACGAAAATACTTGGGAGCCATCAATCACTACTTTATGGAGTGTTTCTATTCTCTGATGATTACCGAGCTCTGTTTGGAAATTTCTGTTCAATTTAGTCAAATATACATAGTAATCAAGTTTCAAATAATGCCAATAGTATGTTTACACAATTCGGCAATAACTATAATACTTCATCCAAATATTCCTTGAATAATACGAATAGGGGCATTCACTAACATTAAAATTTTACGTAACCCGAAATAATGAAACGTTTATCACATCCGACCTGCTATTGGGGATGCCGTCAAGAAAATAACAACTCGGGACGAAGTGCTAGGAAAGTGAGCTTTCATTTTATGGCATGTAAATCTACATTTTGCAAAACAAAGAACAATTCGGTCACTGAACTAGTGCCCTATATTATAATTATATTAAAGTAAATTAGAACAATAAATGAATTTCATTTGTTTGTTGGCACATAATATATGACAAAAATATACTGTGTATTATTTTATAACATTATGCAAGTAGTATGAAATGTGCACACGTGTTGAGGCATATGGATTAAAAGTGAAGTGATACATAAAGGTCAAGTAAAAGGTTTGTTTTAATTAATTAAAACAATTCTTTTACTCTTTTTAAGCAAAGAAAGCATTTAAAAAAAGAAAAGCTAATGAGTTAACTACTTCTAATCATTCAAAGAAAGTACAAATGCTGTCTAACACACTACATGCATAAATGGAGCCATGATTGCACACACATCATCGAAAGGAATTTGAAGCACTTCACACAGCCAGAGCTGCTATATTTACCTAACTCATCGAGCGAACAAGTCGCAGGCGTATCCACCCCCACATGCCTCAACGCAAGAGGCGCTGCCAACCAAACGCACCATCACCACCACCTCCACCACAATCACCACAACCACACACACTTCTCACTTTACACCGAGAGACTACTCACCTCTAGGCCTATTGAAAGACTTCATAGTTTTTATTCCCATAACGGAGTAGTTTTCCCAGTCTATATACATGTGGGTGACTAGATCAGGTACGTCGAAGGGATACAAGGAAACACACACAAAACACTCGAGGTCCTTAGGCGGCGCGGGCGCGGGCGGTGGAGCCGGCGGTGGCGGCTTCAGAGGCGCAGCGCGGCGGCGGTCGCGTGGCTGGTCGCCGCACGCCGGCAGCCTTTCCGGCCGTCGCAGCTCTTCATGGTGCAGCGGGCGGGCGCGCCGTGCTCGCTAGTCCTGGCCGGCGGACGCCCCGTCCAGTCCCGTCCCGTCCGGCGAATGTCCCGGGACCGACGCACCGCCACTCACGCACTCTTACGTAAAAGCGGGCGCGCGAGTTAAAAATATTGACAGGGCAGCCCGGCCCGGAGAAATATACGCGTTCTTGAACGTGAAAGTTAATTATAGCGTGCGGGTAACGCCGCCGCGGCAGAAGCGGCGCACATGTCACACCACACACGCACGCACGCGCGCACACACACGCGCTGGCGAGGGCGCGGGCGCGGGGCCGACGGCAGAGGTGGCGGGCGCGCTGTCACATGGAGGGTGCAGGAGGCGATGGCGGAGGCGGCGTCACCCACGTGCAACTGCCGGCG